GATAATAGGTTTATAGGAAATCTTTTTCAGTTAAATTTTTATGTTCGATCTACAAAGACGTAATGCGTAAAAATTGACTATATATTTAGTGCGATTTGTATTTTGGCTGTTGCTAGGACTATGATACGCTCTCTAGTCCTGTTATTCATATCGGTACCAAGATATATAACTTAAATAATGTAATTCATTTCAGTTTCAAATAAACGAGTTCCCTACAGGAAAAAATTCCCTATAGATTCACGTTGTTAAAACGACTGTTACGTTCATCGATGCATGAATAAGACAGTATGTCTATCTGTGAAATTGATATATACATAAGAGATGAGAAAGACTATTTTCTAACATGAAGTTTCGATTCAAATACAATATCGTATGTACATTGCACTGCTCTTTCTACGGATACATTGAACATCAAAATTATCTAAGCTTTATAGAAATAGCATAGAGTGCATAGTTGTTGTATTGATTCATCTGTTATAACAAAAATGTCGACTTAGAACAAATGCGTAACAACTTGCAAAAATAAATAGTTGAATATGTTTGAAAGAATGAAAAAACCGGCATGTTGTGATTGTATCATCTATAAAAACTAAACAAGTCAATGAATGGTTCTGAAAGCTTTTAATAGTAGATTACAGACTCTATGTTGTTCTTTGGCGAAACCCATATAATTCTAAGATAAAATTATCTACTATTTGAATAATTTTGATATCTACTGTATATATATATCATGAATAAAAGTGGAATATTAGCTTCCTTTCATTAATATTCACAAGATCAGTCTGTTTAATCAAAGTTCAGAAAACATTTTTTTTTTCTATTATTTCATTCTTATCTGCATCTTATTAATTATTCTGTAAATCGTAATAATAACGTTAGATAAATACATAGTCATTAATAAATATTTTGTAAAATTTTGCTATGTTTTTCGTACATGTTCGATTCTTCTTATGAATTTTGAGCATCAAGAGAACTGCTGCACTTTATCTGGTAATAATCATTGATAAAATTAATGATTTTATTAAGAAAAAAAAAATCTGTATATAAGAAAAGTAGTTATGTTCTTTTATTAATGATAATCAATGGGCACCTTTCATAATTGGTGTTTTTTCATTGACTATTATAGTAGGATAACTTCGTCGTGGTTTTGAACAAAACAAGCAAGTGATCATCATCAGACATAGTAAAAATACCACAATTACTACAATACCAGTAATCGTCCAAAAACCCCATCTAAATGGACGTGGTTTTGGTTTAGTACATCCATTCCAGCATGCACAAGGACTTGTTAATTTCATGACATATTCACCAACAGATGTTTCACCAAGTACTTGAAGATGATGAGATGATAATGATCGATCACAAACAAGTTGTACACTTAATCGTCGATTGTGTGATAATGATGGATAAACAATCCCTGGAACAAAATTTTTTGTATTATTCATATTTACCCAATAAGCATATTCTTGTAATCCTATTGTGTAACTGATACTATGAGTTTTATCAACTAATGAGAAAGAAATATATAAAATTTCAAATAAAAAATAAATTTAATATTTTACTTTGACATCCAGCTACATTTTGACAGCTATCTTCAGAAAATTTGTAACATGGATTATAAGACCAGACAAAATTATTTGGAAACATTGATGTAACATCTTTGAATGTTGGCGTACCTGTCATGCTACCAATAGATGATAAATCAATTGTACCATATCGAGAATCATGAAAGTGACATTCATTAAAATATATCGAAGGTGTTGTCACTGATGATGTTCCTATAAAATTGAGCACAAAAATATTTTATTGTATTAGCTATCATTAGAAAAAAACCTACTAGAAGTAGTAGTGCTCGGTTGTGGACTAGAACATCCATTCCAACAAGCACAACGTGATCGTAAACGCATGAAGTAATGGTTAACACTATATTCACCAAGTATTTCAAATTCATCTTCAGCAACCGCCGAACAAATCATTGTTATAGAAACTGTTTTCTCACCATAAGTATATGTAAGAACAGGTGCCATGCTTGAATCCATTGTCCATGTAGAGACATCTTGTGTACCTAATGTAAATGAATGTTTGCGATCAGAAGATACTAAAAACAAAAACAACGTCAATATATTAAATAATTTATCTACTTAAAATATAATATTTATACGTACTTTGACACACAGCTGCATTATAGCAACTATTTTCTGTAAATGAATAACATGGATTAAATGAATATGTATAATAGGAACTTGTTGGAGTTGATAAATCTCGAAAACGAGGTTCACCATTTTGTAAACCAATGGATGATAGATTAATAACACCTTTAGTTGGATGTTCAAAAATACATGAATTATCTGCTAGTGTTGCACTACAGAAACCAATGATAAGTAGAATATGAACAATATGCATTTTATTAAATACAGTGAATTTTTATTTGTTTTTAGACAAAATAAATGTGTCTATTGTAGTTTTTTTTATCGGCAGTGTTATCTTGTTATTACACAAAACTTGATGATAATGACATTATATAGTTTGTATTGGCCTTATTGATAAGAAAACTTATATTTAACCCAGGTAGATCTATTACTAATTTTTAACAAGACAGCACCCTTTTTTTGCTTTTCAGTTCTGACTGATTATCATCTACTTGTTTTTTCTTATCTAATTTTTCTCAAATAGAAAGATATATTTGTAGTTCGAGAAGATATTGTGTTTGTGTACACTAAAAAACAAGTCATTGTTGGAGAAGTTTCCCAAGTAGTGACTCGTTATTTCATTGGAAATACATATATATATACGATTCACTAGATCGATTCTAAATATCATATTCCTAGCCGCTCATATATCTTTCCAGATTCAGTATTATAATTATCAATTCTCTTCTAATAGAGGTGTTTTTTTAATCAAATTCGATATTTAGTTCTTTTACTGTGTTTGTTACTAGATGCAATATCACTAAAAATACTTTATTTTACAACTCTCGTAATCTTTTATGTCAGATACTAATCTATAAAATAGCAAAGTAATTCGTACGCTACTTGTGATCAGTCATCCGACATGTATTCATAAACTAATAATAATTACTATTGCTGAATATGAACTGGAAGAATATTTGTCATTCAGTTAATACTTATTATCGTGATAGCTTAAAAATTATACACAATCTACATTAGAAAAAAGTCATCTTTTTTTCTCATGTGATGTTATATATAGGAGTAGAGAAAGAAAAAATTACAAGAGATAGAAGTCGAAAAATCGCATATCTATCACAAGATAAACGAGAGCGTAGTTAATGTGTTACATCTAAATACTAGATGTAATTAAAGTTTCTAAATTATTAATGTAAAGAATGAGCACAGATCATTAATCAATACATAACTATTGAGTCAACTGTATCATATGTAATTTAACGTTGTGGGATAAATTAAAATTTGAAATGCACAATTCGGATAATGAAAGTATAGTCAATATCAGTTTCAAAATAAAACCTAAAAAAATACTTTTGTATACTTAGTCTTTTCTTTAATGTATGTTGACACAAAGGAAACGGATAAGATATTGTATTTAATAAAAAAAAAGCGTCACAATTAACGGGTGGTCGGGAAGTTTTGGCACAAAATGTTTGTTCATTTTTGACCCGCTTGAAAATATTTCCGACGAGTCAAAATCTATGCGTTAGAACCAGAACTGTGTGCTCTTTCCAAATATGGACTTAGAAATTTTGTGTCGGTTTTTGTTTGAGAGTTGTGAAATAATCTTTGAAAGGCCTAAACAATTGGTTTGAACAGAATTTTTTTCCACACATTTTTGGATTTTCACTTTTGGGATCCAAAACTAAAAGTTAGAACCTTTGTTATTATACCAGCTTGTAGAGCAAAATCTACTCTACAAAATGTAGTAGTTGAGTTCTTTTTGCTTTTCGATAAGGCTTCTGAATTTTCGTGTTTCCTAAATTGTCATTTTTGAAAAATCGACTTTTTGACCAAAAAGCGTTTTACGTGGAAAAGAGCTCTTGGAAAAATGCGTATAGCTTTCATTGGGTAAAAGCTACAATTTAGTTCGCTATCACATTTTGTCAAGAATTATTCCCTCTACAAAACTACCGTATCCGACAATTTTTAGCATCTTTGCAAAGGGATTTATAAGGGTCAGCAAAACCTGTTTGTTTGCAGTCCAAACTAATTGTTTGGACCTTTCCAAGATTATTTCACAACTCTCAAACAAAAACCGACACAAAATTTTCTAAGTCTATATTCGGAAAGAGCACACAATTCTGGTTCTAACGCATAGATTTTGACTCGTCGGAAATATTTTCAAGCGGATCACAAATGAACAAACATTTTGTGCCAAAACTTTCCGACCACTCGTTAGAAGAGGATTGATTAGCCATTATGTAGAATCTTGACTGATCGATGAGCTGTTAGGACGATGATATTTGGAATTAGCACAGTGAACTTCATACAGTCATGTATGATTCGAGTAACAAAGCGAGTTATCACTTAGGAGACTTCTCTTGTCAGATATATATTTCAAATCATTCATATTGACACTTTTTCGCAAGGCGGAAATAGCAGAGACTTTAGTCTTGAAGTCTGATATTATTCCCTCAACTTTTCGTCTTAAATTCATTCGAAACAATATGTTTGAGCTCTCTCTCTCTCTTATTCTGTTTGATGAAAGTGGATTTTAAACGCAACTTTAATATATTTTTTTATCAGATATTGATCAAAAATGAAATTATATAACTCCAGCAAAAAAATAATGTTACATGTGGGACAAAGAAAGTAATGAAGCTAATTATGTTGTAGCAATGGAAAAATAGAGTCTTTGTTGTGATGTATTCATTAACGGATGAGAATAGGGAGAATTTTGTAATAGATCTTAATACATGACGAATTTACAGATGGCTCTGACGAATAGAACAATTCTTATGGTGATGATCAGGTTGCTCTTAATATCTGATTCTACGTAAAATTCATAAGAGATGTTGGTTGTTGTATTAGTAGTTATGACCCAGTCATTTTACTCCAAAGAGAAGCTACACCAGAAGAGGGTTGCGCTGTTGGATGTCCGGCAGGATTCATTGGAGGAGCAGGTGGTGGTGGCGGTGGTGGTGGTGGTGGTGGTGGTGGTGGTGGTGGTGGCGGCATTTGGCTTCCAGGAGGATTCGTTGGAGGAGTTGCTGCTAACATTTTGCTCCACATAGAAGTTGGTGCAGGAGCTGCTGATGATGGTTGATTCAAAGTTGGATTTACAGAAGGTGGAGGACCTTGTTGTGACGGTTGACTCATCATATTCCACATACTTGCCACGGCAGAACTTGGTTGGTTAGTTCCAGCTGGCACATTATGTGTAGGAGGAAAACTTTGCATAGGCGGTTGAGTCTGTGGTGGTAGCTGATTAACATTACCACCGCCTGCGCTCATCTTACCAAACATACTAGCAAGACCACCAGAGCTTTGAGTTTGTGGTGGCATTGGTGGAGGTGCCTGTTGCATTGCTTGCCAAACATTCTTAACATTAGAAGGCTGCGATGAAGGGTAATTCTGTTGAGGTGGATATCCTGAAGCTCCTGCCATCCGTTGCCAGACATTGCCTAATAAACTGTGAAGACGAGCAGGAGATTGACCGCTTTGATCCATATCAGGACTAACTTGATCGTGATATCGATGGCGTCGACGACGACGATGTGGTGAATATCTATCATAATCATCACTGTCTGAACTTGTATCTCCACGACAAACGATTCGTCGACGACGATATGATCGGAATGGATGTCTTCGATATTCATCATTGTCTGAATATGAAGCGTCACGACAAATCAATCGTTGACGATGATCTAATCGTGAAGAACGTCTTTGATAATAATCATCTTCTGGATCTGAAGTCTCACGACACATTAATCGTCGATGATGATCTGATTGTTGTGGAAGAATGACTTCTGTTAATGGTGATGTATCTTGAGAAAAACAAATAAAAACAGAATAATTATTCATATTTTGATAATAATTATAATCATACGATAATTATGAAAAGACGAAGATCTTTGTAATGTGTGAACATCCACACCAAGTTGTCTTAAAATTGAGTCGAGCGACACATTATCTGTAAGAAGTAGTATATATTAACTGAATTTTTTTATACTAAAAACAAAAACAAACCTGAAACTTGGATGACAATAGGATTTCCATGCGGAATAGAAGGAACTTGTGGCGTACAATGCATGGTAAAAGTTGAAGGCGCATAGTTCTGTAAATTACCCAATGTTGGCGTACAATTCTATTCGATAAAAGAAATTCGTTTATATTTATAAATTAACATAGTTAATCATACTTACCAGTGATAACGTATTGGGATTGTAATTTAAAAATGGTGTTGAAGGTGTATTGTAACCAGAATAAGGAAATTCATAGACCGGACTGCCTGTAAAGTAGTCCATATTAGTATCAAATATTCGATTCACTTATTACTTCGTTTCCCTATCCAGAAAAAAAAAAAGAAATAATGATATAAACATATCCATTGAAGGACACACTTGTCATTGTGTTTACTACAATTTGGCCGTGATGTTTGTCACACGCCAGTAATTATTGTTTTCATATACCCAAGGTTTCATTATTCATGAGTAAAGTGGGTAAAAACAAAGTATCTGTAATTCACAATTTGAGCCAAGTTGTGTGTTTTTACATAGTTGGATAAAACTCAACGAGTTACTTCGAAAAATGTTGTTTTCTGTAGGAAAATTTGGAGAGTTCGGCTTGGAAAAATTGAAATACGCAAAAAATATCAAGTCAATGTAATCTTAGTACTTATACGATCTTTGTTTTTTACTCGTTCTATGGCTAGGAAAAAAAAATACGCATAATTTTTGCAAAATATTATTATACTGTCAAGACCAATCATTTTTTTCGATATGACAACAATAACAAAGAACAAGTTCACATTCAAAAATTTCGCCCGTTAGAACTTTAGTTTCAAATGAAACGAACGTCATATACTGAATAGTATACTCAATATTTAAATCAAGTTTACATTAAAGTTCGACTTTAGGAATACCGCACATCGGATTATTCGGCAATAACAGTGAATAAGTAAAAGTATCGAAATTTTACAAAAACTAGTTTTCAGTATTGAGTAAACTATTCGATGGAGATTTTCTTTGTTAATTCTGAATGTAATATTCATTTCATTTACAACAGAAGTTTTGATAATCAAAATCTCTGAATATGTACTCATATTTATAATGTTTTACCATCATATCGAAAAAATCATTTTTCTCAACAATGAAAATATGATGCATCAGTTCTTTCCGTAATCATATGCTGAATAAAACCGAATATTGACATTTGATGCTGTTGGTGTATTTCAAATTTCATAGGCTTCTCTTATTTTTTTTAAGCTTATTTTCTAAAGTTTTGTTACAAAAAATAACATCTTTACAAGTAAATCAACCAGCTGTCTTACACCAAAAAATTTTTTGCTCAAATTTCGAATATCGTTGACCTTCTTGTTCTCATATCAATCAATTATATAGAAACAATATTTAAATCAATACCTATAGTCAATCGTTCTACATCAATGATTTCTGATTGTAGCTTGTCTTTCGATTAGCCTCACGTGAATAAATGTATATCGAAATACATAAAGAAAGCTAATCTTTCATTTGCTTTTCTTTATTAGATATGAAGAAAGAAACAATAAAGAACAAAACAAAAAAAAAAGATAAAGATAAAGAACATAAAATAAAATAAATATGACTAATTATAACATGAAACCATATTTAGAGATAAGATGACATAGGAATGTAAATTATATACATCACTGTGTTAAGATTAATTAAAAAGATCATCAATTTCAGCAGCTGCTGTTTTTGAACTTGTTACGTTTGTACCCTTAACTACGATAGAACCAGATGATGGTGGTGGTTGAAATAATTTCATACTACCACTTGGTGTTCCTGGATTATTATGAGATGGAGACATTAATGAATTAGTATTAGAACTCATTGAATTCAATGACATTGTTGTTGGACTAATTTGTTGTCGAGAAGCAAGAGAATTAATATTATTCATAAGGCTCGATGTCAAATCAGTAGTATTTGACGATAAAGATGAAGATGGTGAAGAAAAGATTAATGTGGGTCGTTTTGGTTGTTGTGACATTGTCGATGGTGAATTATTAATAGTTGGTCGTATAAGTGATGGCATTGTTTGAGAAGTTGACATACCATAAGATGGTTGGGATGGATTTTGTTCGAATAAAGTACTTGTTAAATCTTTAAAATATGCTGAAGATGAATTTGATGTTGTTGTTGCTGATGATGATGATATTGGAGTCATAGCCATAAGTGGAATATTTGACGATGATGAGATGGGTGTTTTACGTTCAGGTATAAGTTCACCTTGAGATTTCATACGTTGTGTTTGATCATTCTCACGCATCATTCGTTCTTTTTCTTCTAATGTTAATGTCTAATAAAAAGAATTTAAGAAAAAAAAAAGAACAAACAAATAAGAAATTATTTATATTTACTTTTTTTCCTAGAGAATTTTCTGATATAGTTGATTGATTCGATGATATTTGTTGTGGTTTGGAATTCTCAAATGTTACATTAGTATCAAAACTAGCTGCCATAGTTTTATTTTGAGCTATTTCAGAATTAAAACCATGTCCAAGCATAAATTGATCAATCTTTATAATAAAACAAAACTGTTAGAGAAATTCTTACAAGATTCAAATTGAAACACGACGTCACTGCTAATGCTAATTACAAGAAGATTATTCAATTTTGAGATCTATTTCTTCATCATACTTTTACTTAATCCTTCAGAAATACAATAAGGCAACAGTTCAACCATTTTAACGAGACGTTATTGATATACAATCATAGATGGTATATCAATAACGTGCGTGCTGTGTCCATGGCCATGTCGGTCACGGCTGGTGACGAACTCTCATTGCTATCTGTCATGGTCCTTGAGGAGCCGTCAAAATATTTACTCCTATACTTCAGCACTCCTTTTAGATCATGTTTCACAAAAAGACATTGATAATATACGTCTTTTGAGAATTTACCATCGAAGATGATTTTTGATCAAAATGAGTATCGGTTGTAGAAGGACCAATAGGTACAATTGGTGAACTGAAATAAAAGAAAAATAAAAAAAAATATTATAATTTAAAAGAATATTTTTACTTTGCAGCTTGTTGAGAAAGTTGTTCAAGTTTTTTACGTTGTTCAATTTCAACTGTTTGTAACATATCTTTAATTGTTGATATATAAGCATTGAACTAATAATAGAAAATTTTTGTACGATATTTTATTTCTTATATATCTTAGTAATGAAAAAATGTAGACTAGCAAATTTTCTTTTGAAAGAAAACCAATTATTTGGATGAGAAACTGTTTTTCTAATGTTTCAGTTGAATCTAATAGAATAAGTTAATGATTCAGGCATTCTTGATTACTAAAAAACTTTCCAGCACCATTTATAAAAAAACGTATTCTGTTGAAAATATCAAGTGTTAGGTCATTGACTTTTAACTTCTCGATAAATTATTATAATGAGATCAATAAATGTCTCAAGAAGAACGTTTTAATACAGAAGATTTTAAAATCCTCTATGACTTTAATAACTACAAGTCAAAATTCGTTCAACAATTTTTTTTCTGAAAAGGAATTGAATAAACTGAAACTTTTATATACTACTGGATAGTATCTCTAAGAATTTATCATTTTATGTAAACAGACTTCTTATCATAAAATTTTCTTCGTTCAAGCTCAATTAAAAGTTGACATACGTTTTTTAAAAGACTCAAACTTATTGATACATAGCATAAAACGAACATATCTCACTGAAATACTTTGACAACAGAATTTGTAGAAGACATTATGCATGATCTTTCAAAATTAGGACTTCAGTATTCTACTAGAATATGTTTGGTAGGTTTCGGAACCGATGAATTTTACTGCAAAGTAAAAACAAGTATTATAAAACCAACAACAAGATTGCCTAAGCAATGTGTAGAGTATACTAGTTGCCGAATACAGAGAATTGAATTAGAAAATTCCATTGCAATTATAGAATATGATTCGGATCAGAGACCAAAAAAGTTTAGTCAATTAGATTCGAGTATTTTCGGACCTGATAGACTCAACATTTTATCATGCTTCTTCGCTGATATATAGAAAAATAGAAAATGAATGCAATATTTTTTGTACTACTTCTTATGAATATATATATATATATTTACTTGATTAAGATTAAGACTTGTTTCAATTGAGATTGGTACTAAAAATGGTATAACTCTTGTAGCTAGAATTTCACGTGGTAAACCACCAGATTTTGATGACGACATAGCAACTTTTATAATTCCTAATATTGCCATAAGAACAGCTGGTTCACGAGATGGTATAGATTGAAGTAATGGTATTACTTCATCAATAATAATCCATTTATCTAATGATTCAACTAATTTTCCAAGACATATTAAACAATTAACACGAACCTAATATGAAAGAAAAAATAAAATAAAATAAAATGAACATTCAATATATTTACTTACACTTAATGTTATTGTTTCAAAACAGATCTTTTTTATACGTGGTAATATACAATATTTCATTGCTTGTAAATCAATTAAATGTGCAAATGAGGGAATTATTGCTAAACAAAGTTCCTAGAAAATAAAGTAATTTAAGAATTAGGACAATCTGCATCATGTAAAAATAATTGAATGACAAATACCCCAAAAAATAGGTCGTGTTGTTAGCTTATTGTTGTTGAGAGACTACATTTATTAAATTAGAGTCGTGCCTTCTACTCATAAGAAACACTGTATAAAAACTGCTTTTCGACTTGAAATTCAGCACAGAAATATGTCTTAAACCGAATAATTTCTTGTTCAAGGCCAAGATTGTTTCACTCTTCTTATATGAAGATAGAGCTGGTATCTGTAAAAGACATGAACACCGAAATCGTTTACTAGTCAGTAGATCAAGCTGACTTAGGTACCTACCAAAAACAATGGACTTTTATATGATAGTCTCAGAAAAATAGAACGCGTGTATTTTCTCAACTTTAAGTCGTATGATTGAATATTGTAGAACGCTACCGTGCACATAGCTAATTGATGTCCATTATCAATAATTGTATTTGACAGTATAGTGTCATACACGCTAATATTAATATCGTATTTTCTTTTTCTACTAAAGAACAGCACCACTTCGGAAAACAATGTGAGATTTAATGTTCAGCAAAGACATAGGAAGAGGAGAAATGTAGCACAAGTATCAGTACAGCAGACCAAAAAAAGAAGAGCATACAATGCTAATAGTAGTATATATGGCATTTTATACTGTGAAATACAACTATTGAGAGAAGAAATTGATCGGATGCGTTCACACGATCTCTATATGCCAAATTCAATTATAGGATC